TACATATAGTAAATCGATTTTTCCAAAAGGCCACAACATTTTAGTATTGCATCGAAAATGTTAGTAATCTCTATTTAAAATATTTTTTTGACTCAGATCAGAAAATCAAGAAATACTGTTTGTGAAATTCACATGAATTTACATTTTATAGTCTTATTTGAAAATATTTTAATCTTTCGATTATTCATATTAATTCTAGCAAATTTATATTTTAAATTATCTTTATTAATATTATGATCAACAACTCATACTGTCACTTGTTGTATATTAAACTAAAGAGTTGTTTTAGTTTTAGTTAAAAGTCTGATAAATTCATCATCTATATTCAATAGTCTGGCTTTTTTGAATATAAAGTTCTAATCAAATTGGCTTATATTGTAACCAATCTCAAATTCTGGTTCATAATTTCTGACTAATTCAGCAAATTTTAGCAAAAGCTGTTTTTGAGTTTGCAACTCAATGAATATTAATTCTGTTAAATTATATTTTGAATGAAATTTCTGGCTGTTTATAGGAATAGTTGATAAACAAAATCTCTTTTGAAGGATCAATTTATTGTAAAATACAATATCAAATTAAATTATGTATACATAATCATCTTTTTTCTTACCTACAGAAAAAAAACCTAGGCCTTAAGATGATAATGTTTCAATATTTCAGTAAAGTAATAAGAGCTTTGGTTTCTTGAAATAATCAATTTTTTGATATCTTTAAATGTAATCAACATGTTATTGAATATTCTTGAAGTATTTATTTTATACCATCTAATTAATTCAAAATTATTCTTATATGCAACTGTTCTGTAATAGCAAGTTTGACTGTCTAAATATGTGTCATAGTATCAATCAAATTCTTCTATCTCTTCAAAAGAAATTTTTCTCTTTTAGTTTCAATCTTTTTAAATGCTTCTTTTTTTTTTTAAAGTATTATAATGTAATTATAAAAATATAAATTTCTCTGTTGAATCGAATGATTGTTTATATATTTTTTCATAACTTTCTAATTCAAATTTATTATTATATTTTTTTAAATCATCTTCTAAATATAACTTTATATCAAAAAAAACTGAATCTATTGATACATTTATTGTAAATTTAGTGCCATCTAAATGAATTGTTAGTAATAATAATATATATTTTTGGTTGAATATTGTTGAATCTAACATATTATATATATAAAATTTGTTTGTATCAAGAGGTTCTATTAATTCTAAATGATTGTATATTTTGAATTATACATAAAAAAATCTATTTGGTTTTGTAAACTAGATAGATTATTTATTTAAATAAATTTTATTTCCAAGAATATAAAGTTAATCGAATTACATCTTCAATACTAAAACCAAATCTCAATAATCTAAAAAATAAAATGTTACCAAAATTATCAATGCTATTTCTAACATGTTCATTTGAAAAAGATAAATATATTTTATAACATAATAAACAAGTATTATAAACATAATATATATATATTTGATCTAAATATTTTAGTAAACTAGAAACCTGTTTCTCTTGTGCTGCACAAAAAACAGCTTGGCAATTATAATCAAGATTGAATAAGTAATCACTTTTTTCACAATACTCGAATGATTTACAACAATTATAAAGACTGTTTTCAAAAAATAGTAATATATGTTTTTCAATTAAATAAAAACAAGAATTGAATGAAATCTCTTTGACAAATGAATTTATCACATATTCTTCTTTGATGAAACATAATTAGATTATATAATTCACATATTTTGTATAAAAAAAATGAAAGATAGGAGGTTTACGAAGAAGTAGATCTTTTTTACCAAATAATATTTTACTTCACATTCACTATGAATTGTTAAGCAAAAATAAAACCATGAACAACAAATATATTTGAGATGATAATAATTTTTATCATCTATAAAAATATTTGTAGATAGACAAAAGAAAAATATTTTTAATAAAATCTTTTTGGGTAAATATATTATTATAAATATTATATATGAAAAAATCTATTTGGTTAATTAACTAAATAGATGTTATTTATTAAATAATAAAATATTAATTATTTAAAAAATAAATACTACATGATCATTTAATTGTTAAATTTTTAAAATCTAAAACACTATTTTCTTCTGTTTCAATACTTGTAATTCCAAATTTTGAAATATTAGATAAAGTCTTTTAACAGAAACTTGAATTAAAAGTAATATAGCTTGTTTAACAAGATAAATCTTATAATATTGAGTTTCAATATGAGCTCTTATAGTATTAATTAAAAAAGTATCAAAACATTCTAGGCAATGTTTATATTTAACTTTTCCAGAATCATAAATATAATAATTGTTGGTTATAGCTTTTTTTTCTTGATTCATGTTTGAATTATATACAAAAAAATCTATCTAGTTAATAGACTAGATAGATAAATAATTTAATAATAATAAAAACAATGAAATAATAATAAAAATAAAATAAATTTAAGAAATAATATTATTAACAATAATAATATTATCAGAAATTACATTTCTACCAATAACTTTATCTAAATATTTTATAATATCATCTTTAGATAATTATGTTATAAATTGCTTAATTTTCATAAGCTCCTTTAGATTTTTAATAATGTCTTTTTGATAAAAAGTATTTTTTGTAATATGACATCCAATAGTGATATCTATTTGGTTAATTAGTAAAACTCTTTGTATTTTATCAAGTTCTATATTATAGTTCAAACTATATAAAATAGTTCGATAAATTGACAAAAATAAAGACTTTTTTTTCTTATTATTTTCTATTAATTCTTTTAAAGTAAATTCTTGGCAATTTTCATTTAAAAGATTTGAAAAACTTGCTGAATTATAATTCATTTTTAATATTATTTACCAAATTGAAAAAATATTCAATTTATTAAACTGAATATTTGTTAAGATAGATGATATTACTTATAAAAGTTGCTTAAAAAGACTCTTATAAGAGCTAAAATTACAATTTTTTTTATATTAAAAAAATTTAAGACAATCTTTACATAAAACATTTTTATTCTTGAACATAATATGTTCATTATAAATCACATCAATATTAGTTTGATAAAAATTATAATGATCTCTTAAATATTGAATAAGACATTTTTCACCTCTTCTATTTTATTTTTTTTATGATCAATTGTAGTTTCAAGAAAAGGATTCACAAAAACAACTTTATATAGAGGAAGAGATTTAATCTTATCAACTTTCCTGTTAATATAATTCTTTTTATATTTATTAACTAGAAATTTATTGAATATCTTAATATCTACATGTCTATGATCCTCAATAATATAATCATAATCCAAATATTTTGTAAGTTGAGCTCTTTTCTTATAGAAATTTGTTATTACACTTTAGAAAAAAAAACAATTCTTCTCCTTATTTTTATAAAATAAATTAAGTTCTTCAGCCAATTCAAGAAAAGCTTCTTTGAACAGAAAGACAGAATATTCTTTTTGTTTCAAATAATAATAGAATAAATTTGCTACAAATGTTTTTTCTGCATTGATAGTTCCTGTAAATACAATTATTTTTTTTTCTTCTTGGATGTTAAAAACAAACAAAAAAAAACAAATAATATAAAAAATAAAATAAGAGCCATAGCAACTTCAATTAACATAAATCGAATCATTTTTATACATAAAAAAATTTATTTAGTATTAAACTAAACAGATAAAATTTATTGAAAAATATAAATTATAAAACATTATTTGAGCATCCAATGACAATTTTTAGTAATTAACTCATATACCTCCTAATAAATCTTATTAGATGCAAAATAAAATTGATATTCTTTCATATTTTTTAATTCAGAATCCAAAGAACAGTTAATAATTCTCTTGATTTTCTCTTTGGAAGTTTCAAATACAGTTTTATAATATTTGAAATTGAATTCTTTCAATTTTTCTATTTGGATTTCCAATGCTATTCTCATATATGAGATGCAATGATTATTATCATTATTGATAGCATGTATATAACTATTAAAGATTAATAAGAAACTATTCAATCTTGTGAGTTTTTGAGTTTGTTCATAAAATAAAACTGACATTTTGTATGTAAATCAATTGTTTTAAAGATTATGAAAAGAAAAATCTGTTTAGTATTAAACTGAACAGATACTAGTAAGAAGAAAATTGTGAAAATTTATCTACTTTATTTTTTTTGATAACTATCTTACTAATAGAAACATTTTCTTCTAATAAACTAACAATATTAAACCTGTCAGCTTTATAATCAACTAACTTTATATAATCATCATTATCTGATTTATAAAAATCTTTAATAATTTCTACAAATTGATTTTCATTACAAATTTTAATATTTTTTTTTGATGTATGTGCTTATTGTTTTGCTCTAGGAGTTGCAAATTTTTTTTTTTTTAACTTTTTACTGTTATACACAATAATTCTAAGAGAATCAAATACAAATCTTGAAATAGCTGATTCAAAAACTCACACAATTTGAATAGATATAGGCATTTTAGTGTTTTTACATTGAATAAGAAAAAGTTTTTTCTTATATGTTATAATAATATCGATACCATGATCTCCACAATTTACTTTAATATCAAAAGCTAATAATCCAAAATTTTCAGCTATTTTTTGAATAATTAATTCAAAATTATAACCAGATTGATAATTTGTTATCTGAAAAAAAAATATATAAGTACAAGAATTCTTTTTAACAGTGTTTGCAGTACTAATATTTCAAAAATATAACTTTAATTCTGATATCAGTTTTTTACAAAATAATAGAATACATCCTCAGTATACATGTATGTATTCAGAATATACTCCTATTTTGCTATAGTAGCATAATTCAAACTCACAAATACAAAGTAAAATGGCAATGCCAACTTATTTTTTTTTCTTTTTCAGCAGTAGTCATCTTTAGTTTACATAGTTAAAAATTCAACTAATTATTAAACTAGTTGGATGATTTATTTAATAAATATAAAAATATAACAAAAATAAAAAAATAAAAATAAAAAAATAAACTATTAAAGTAAAGATAGGGATGATGTAATAGATTCAGGTTCATTGAGTTCCTCAGGATCTATTTTAACTTGTTTTTGAGATTCAATATGATTAATATCATTTTTATGTTTTCTATGATTTCTGAATTTTGAATTAATAGCTTCAATTATTACTGATTCTTTGAATCTCAAAGAATCAGTAACTTTGAGATTTTTAAACTTATTGATAGTATATGCCTTCTATGCAAAATTTCTGTCAGGTTCTGTTAGTTGTAGAATTTTATTAGTAATAGTAAAATAGATTGCAGTTTTGAACATGATTTCATGATTTGAACAGTTAGAAAATATATGAAATCCTTTATTATATATAATAAAATAGAAATTTTTTAAATCTAATTTGATCTCTTCAAATACTTCTTGCTTGACACAATTAATGAATAATTCAAATGATTCTAAACCACCTCTTGCTACTTGATAATATGTATAATAATCTTTATTAGGATTATTTCTATAACTTATTCAAATTTTCTTTTCAGAATTTACGATCAAACATAATACATAGTATCAACATTCTCTTTCATATTGATCAATTATTTTCTTATTTATTTGCATCAAATTAGTTTGTTCTATAAGCTTGACTTTAATCTCATTATTAATCTGGTCCTTGTTTATAGAAATCCTATTATTGTATATGCTTGCAACAGAATTGAGCCAAGATAAATATAATGAAAAAGATAATTGACAAGCTGAGTATTGACTCTTTGCAGTGTTATATTTGTCAGATATTGTTAAAATATTTAATAAAAAAGATTATATAAAAAAAATTTAATCAGTTATAAAACTAATTAAAGAGAATTACATTTGGAACTATTTGACTTAAAGAATCATCTATTCTAAGTTCATTATTGCTAAAATATAATTTGTTATTTAGTACAATACTATTTTGGGTTTTTATATATTTAAACTTGTCTTGCTCTATAAAATTGTTTTCATCAGTTTCATAATATATATTAGTAGAACAAGATGAAACTTAAGACTCTTGTGTTAAAGATTCTAAATCAAATCTTTAGGTTTTATTAATTAGTTTTTACATTTAGTACATTCTTTATCTGAATAGAAATTAGTGTATTTCTTGTAATAATATAAAAATTCTGAAATAATCTTGTTTTTACAACTATTACATTGTTTTTGTAAATAAAAATAATTGCATTTTTTACAAAAATATTTGGTAATTTTTGATTTTAATTTTGGCTTTAGTTTTAGTTTTCAATATGATATATTATAATTTGAATATATTAAATTTTGAATTCAAGCACTACATCTAACTGTTATTTCAATACTATTATATATTATTTTTTCAGTATAATAATTACATGTTGGAACTATTTTACCTGTTTAAAAATCTATTCAGTAATTATTGAATAGATTCATTTATTTAATAATAATATTTGATAATTGTAAATAAATTTAAAAAAATGAAATTTCTTATTTTTTACTTCTTCTTCTTTATTTTCTTCTTCATTATCAGTAGTATCTTGTCTTCTTTTACTTATTTTAACTCTTGATTTAAGCTCAGATAGATGCTTAAATATGCATCAAGTACATAATTATATACTTGATATGCCCAAATTTAGGACTATATAAAATCTTTTCTTTACAATTCTTGGCTCTATTATAGTTTGAATCATCCCTATCATGAACTGAATTACAATTAAATTTTATCTTAGTCATCATATTACATCTAAGTTAACAAAATTCTTTAAGTTTTATCAAAAAAATTAATTTTTCTCTTGGATCATCTTTACAAATTTTGTTCAAACAGGTTTTGAAAACATGTTTACTAAGATCTTAATTTTTATTAAAAATTAAATTAGCTTTATAAGCTTTTGGTAATTCTTGTTCAGATTGAAGAAGTAATTGTTAAGACATTGTTAATAACATTTTGAATTGCATAAAAAAAAGATCTAGTTGGTTATAGACTAACTAGATAAATTTATTTATTAATAAAATTAAATAATAAATGATTGAAAATATTGAAAATTGAAATAATTTAATATGAATAAAATTAAAATAATAATGATTATACTGTAATAATGTTGATATGTTATACCAAGTATTTTTTTAAACATTTAAATTAAAATTATATTAACAACTTTGAATAATATTAATTTGGTTGTATCAATCTTATATAAGACATTATATGCTTGTTTAATTAATGATTAAGATAATACAACTCATTCTAAAATTTTATTAAAAATATTAGTATAATCTTTAGAATTTGTTTGAAAAGCATGTCAAGCTATATAAGTCTTTATATTAGCTGATAAAATTATTTTTACTTTAGCATTAAGTAAACAGAGTGTAGTAATATTACAACCAACTATAACAAATCCTTTGTTCTTGATTATTTTTCTAAACATTTTATTTATAATATCACATAATTTATTATTTGTTAATATCTAAGCTGCTCTAATTCCTGATTCTTGATATTGTTCTTTATTAAAATGTTTGATAGAATTAATTAATTCCAATACCTGTTCTTCATTAAAGATTTGCTTGATTTGGTCAATAGATAATTATTATGATAATAACCAACATATCAATAAAATAACTCAGAATTAATAAACTGATAACTATATTAATTCACAATTGCTTCTCCAACTGATGTTTTTTCAACTGCTACATATCTATCAATTGTGATATTAATAAGTTTCTTGGTATTAAAATTTTGAAGTATTATATGAAGTAAGTTCATCTTTTGAGATTATATAGAAAAAAATCTACTTGGTTTCAAACTAAGTAGATAAATTTATTTAATTTTAAAATTAACAAGATAGACAATTGTAAACAAATTATAAATTTTCATTTCAAAATCAATATTAGTAAAATTATAATAAAAATATGATGAAAATTGGTTAAATAAATATTTGTAAGTATTGTAAAATTTTTGAGCAACAACACATAGAAGACTCTTTAGTTTAAAATATTGTTTTTCTAATTTTTTTAAATTGTTAAAGTATTAATTATACAACTTAATTATCATTTTCATCTTCTTCTAAAAGAATTTCTAATAGTGGATTAAAAGAATTAGTAAGAGCAATAGGTTGTAAATGATTTTTTGTCTCAACAGAAATTTAGAATAATATCTTTAACTAATACTTGTTTGTAATATATTTTGAATAATATAAAAGTAATAAATCAAACAGAAAAACGTATTTATTACAGAATTCTTGTGCTTTTAAATAATCAAAATTATTTAAATGCAAGTTTTTTTTTGAACTTGATTTGTTAAGAAGAAAATCATAATAATGATTTTGTATATTAAAATAAGGGAAATTCTATTTTGACTCGAGTCAAAATAACCTCTCTTAAAATTTAGGGTTAGTGTAGGTCATTAATGTCAGATGGGTTTTTATATTAAAAAAACCCTGATCAGTATTAACATAATTTTGGCCTGCACTAACCCTAAATCATAGGAAAGGTTACTTTGACCCAAGTTAAAATAGAATTTCCCTTAAAATAATCTTTGATAAATTGATGTTTGAATTAAAGTACTTGAATAAGTTAAAATACCTGTAATGGCAGTTATACCAGCATAACTAACAGGTTATAGGACATTTGTGCAATGTTAGAGTTATATAAAAGAATGCAAGCTGACAAATCAGATGATGCAAACACTAGATAAGTCCTTGTAGCCATGTAAATCTGTTAAATTAGATAACAAAAAGTCTATTTGGAAAGACCTGAGTAGAGAGATAGCTAGATCTTCAATGGCCTTACTGTAAAAGCTAACTTGGCAAAACAAATACCAAGGCCTAGTAACTAGTTATAGTAACTAAATGGGCAAGAACCTCTGGATTGGAAGTCTCAGAAGTACCACCAATTAGGCTATCAGAACAAATTAAAGAAAAAGAATATTAGGTTGACCTGATATACCAATAGACTGGTCATAGTTCTACATAGGCTATCTGGATTAAAAGTTTAATAAAAAGGCAGTGATATACTAAAGTATCAGAGTTATGCTGTGAAGTAGATGCTGGGGTTTAAGTAAACTCTACAAGAGCATAGTGGTTTAATAATTAGCCCTGATCGCAAGTGTTGGTTCACTATAGCAATACCTAGGTCAGCTGTAAAAATAGGTACAGAAGGCTCTAGGAGGTATACCTTAAGGATAAATTAGTCCTAAGGTTATGATGATGATCTGGGCATCTGAATATGACATAGTGAGTTAATACAGATTACAGGTTTAGAGGGTTTAAAGTAGAACACTCAAGCAGAGATGTTAGGTATATCAATTGATAATGAACCTTTAGGTAAACTCCTTAAATAAGTAATATAAAAAAGTTACACATGTAGCCAATTGTATGCTCTTCTGTAGTAGTTCATTGAACTACAATACCAATAAGTGATTAATAAAAGTCAAAAGACCAAAGAGGTTATCTTAATATCAAAAAAAACAATAAACCAGATTACATATATAAACAATATAGTAATAATTCTAAAACTAGAATATCTTCTGCAGTTAACAAGAATATCAGAAAAAATGATTGACAAGATCTACTAGCCAGTAATATGTTTGGTAAAACATAAGTGCAACATAATGAAAATGACAAACAATTGCATAATGAAGTACAAAGATTCAAGAAACTATAAATCACTAAGTTAAGAGATAGCAACAAAGCAAATAAGCAATTTATTTGCAAAACTTAATAGGAAAGATACTCTGAGCAATCTAATAAAACTTAAAATAGTCCAAGAATGTCAAAAAGCAGGTTTAATAAAAAATAAAAGATATTTGGAACTCTAAAAGAAGACTAATAAAACAAAGTATTGAAAATACAACTTAGCTTGTTAGACAATAATTAAAGCAAAAGAGATGAGAATAAACATCAGAACAGAAAATTACTTGTAGAAAGTACATGATTATGAAACAAATATAAGAGACTTAGTGTTAAATCATAAACAGCACATGGGGTTTAATATATTCAAACCAACTTATAGACATAAAAGAGGAAAACCTAATTATGTAAAGACAGCTCAAAAGTCTTTTAGGGCTGTCATATAAAGAAAAAAAAGCCAAATAGTTCAATGAAATAAAAGAAAAGATGTTAAAAATACAGACAGGTAGAGAAATACACGATTAATACAAGATTAGTGACCACAATACACAGATACTGATAATTAATTGGACAAAGATATTAGAAGACAGAAAGAGTAGATTGTATACAGACCAAAGCACAATTAGCAATTCAGTAAGATATTAAAGAAGAAAAAAAAAAGATATTTGCTAAGCATTGGCTATTAGAAAAAGTAAAAGGCAAGATGTACACTGAAATAAGAAAATGAAAAAGGTGTAAAAACAGAACAGAACAGGTAACAGATGACTGTGAAAAGTAAATAAGATAAAACAATAACATAAAGGCAATCCCTAAAACACTAATAGAGAAAAGCAGTAACATGATTAATGCAATACTAGAACAAATTCTAGAAAACAGAACAATAAAAGAATGAAAGAAAAAAGAAAAAAGTCTAATTAGACTAAGACAAGTAGTAGAATTAGAGATAGAATTAATCAAAAAAC